CCAGGGTATCCAAAAAATTATCCAGAAAATTTACATTGTGTATATGAAATTCATGCGCCTGGAAAAGTAATTAACATCGTATTCAGTGATTTCAATTTAGAGAAATGTAAGTGCACAAACAAATAAATGCTTTTTATGTAGTCTTTTAAAGTATGTCATGATCAAACTGAATTCTATAGCATTTATAAGAAGTAGTTAATTCCCTGGTACCAAACAATTTCATTAGAACGTTTCCTTATTACAGCGCTTGACTGTAAATTTGATTACATTTCCATAACTGCCCGACTTAGAAGGGGGAAATCTGACTTGCGAGCTCCAAAATTGTATTGTGGGTCAAACAAACCAGCTCCATTACGTTTCCAAGACTTTATCGCAATAACATTTAATAGTGATTCTAGTTCGGTTGACAAAGGCTTTAAATTCTCTTTTAGTACAGATGGTATAAAGGTGTTAGTTTTTTGCATTTCGTAAGCTATATTATTTGCAATTTTAGATTGCGGTGGTAGAATAACAGCACCTACAATAATATCTTCTCCAAGAAGGGAGGGATACGTTCAAAAAAGCTCCTTCGATTATTTAACTACCTATTCTTCGTGCCTTTGGAATATCACCGCTCCTTCAAATAAACATGTTATTGTAGAGTAAGGATAATAATTTGCCACTGACATTTAGTGGGTTTCCTTATTTGTACTTTTATAGGTTTAAACTGTTTGAATTGATGCACAGTCACGGATGTAATTTTGAATATTTAGACGTGTATGACGGATTTCAATTAGACGCAAATTTAAAATTATCACGTTTGTGCGGAAATCTTACAGATAGTCCTCCTGTATTTAAATCAACTGGAAATTCACTCCTACTTAACTTAAGAACAAGCTTTTCTGGCAATAATGCTGGTTTTCAGGCCTATGTTTATTTCCAATATGGTGCGGAAGTGGGTTGTGGTGGCAATTTGTTCATCAATGAAACTCGAGTAATTTCTCCATCAAACATTTCCGCTATAATGGATTGTCAGTGGCAAATCAAAACAACGGAACCGTCTGTAATAAAAATTGAATTTCTTGAGCTTAATTTAGAAGGCTGTTTCTATCATGATTCTAATATTAACAATACCAGTTGTATTCCTACATACATACAAGTAATTAGCGATATTTTGGTAATAGATTTTCTAATTTATTACATAATGTTTCAGATTCATGATGGACCTAGTTTTGTATCCGAAACAATGGATATCTTAAATAGCTCTTGGCACGTTTTGCCAACCTACCTGACTACAAGCAATTATCTATGGATTCGATTTTTGGGGCTAAATCTACCAATTACTGGATTTCGAATACGTTTAAGACCTATAAGCTGTATGCGTTAATCTACATTATTCAACAGAATTAACCTTTTCTAATAAAATGTCAATTCTAGCGCCATGTGGCACATCGGTACTTAAGGTAACAAATGAAACAGGTACACTAATGTCACCAAAGTATCCTGAAAGTTACCCTAACAATATTAGATGCAAATGGTTGTTAAACACCAATGATTACTTTGAGAAGATAAAAATTGAATTTATTGACTTTGATTTAACTTATAATCAAGATAAATCATTTTGCAAAGAAGACAGAATAGAAATTTCTGATAAACACGTAATTATTACAGGTTTACTAAATTAAATGAAAATTAATTTTTAAATTTTCAGAGTTTCAATAAAGTTACAGATGCCTTGGGCACAACAACTCTACTCCGTGGAAAACATGCATATCCAGCGTTTGCTGTAAGTATACTTCTGTTTTATTTTTGAATCAAATGGATTGCAGTTGATATGATTTATTGTATTTAGAAAAACTAACGAAAAAGAATATTTATCATTAATTAACTAGAAACGACACTAACTACGAGAAAGCAGAAAGGAAAGATGATATAAAACTAAGTAAAGTATTTACGAGAAAGAGGCTGGGTACTCATTAATTGTGGTGGGTGGAGTATCGGATAAAAGCCAATAAACAAACTACAACTAGTGGATTGGGTTCTTTCTTTCCCTTGCCTCGAGCTCGAAGTATGACGTGTGACATTTTGTTTATTAAAAAAAATGTGTACATGCTTCATTCCCACCATCCACTAATGCTGGTAGGCAGTCCCCCTAAGCTATACTTTAGTTTAAAGCTGGAGCCTACCTCAGCCTCCTTTGCAGTACCTAATCGTGGGAGCTGGTTAGGTAGAAGTGGACTAAAGCAAGCGCTATCGCGAACAAACATTTTTGTAACTTTCGAATTTCTTTACTGCAGAAGCGTTTATATTAAAAAGTCCCTTTACAGGTAGGGTAATAAAATCCAAAAATACAGGTTAGACTGGATGACCAAACGATGACTTGCCGTTATGCAAACAAAAGTTTTTCTTTTTGGTGTATAACGGCAAAAAGAGCAAACATAAAATTAGAAAACTGTCTGTCTTCAAACCTCGTGCAAAAAAGTATTCGAATGTCCGCTACGGTCGTCAGTCCTAAGGCTGGTTGGACACGCATCTCCACTCTTTCCTATTCTGAGCTAATTTTTGAATTTCTCTTAAACTAGAACAACCCATGTCCTTAACTATTTAAATTACTTTTTAGAAGCAACAAAAAAATTAATGCTGCTGGTTTTAAAGTAAGTATTAGTGCAATTAATTTTAAATATGTAAATACATATTTCTCTGTATATTATAGGCAAAATGGTCTTTCCAATGTGGGGGCATTCTTGAAGCAGATAAAAAAATAAGATATGTTTTGAGCCCAGGGTATCCAAAAAATTATCCAGAAAATTTACATTGTGTATATGAAATTCATGCGCCTGGAAAAGTAATTAACATCGTATTCAGTGATTTCAATTTAGAGAAATGTAAGTGCACAAACAAATAAATGCTTTTTATGTAGTCTTTTAAAGTATGTCATGATCAAACTGAATTCTATAGCATTTATAAGAAGTAGTTAATTCCCTGGTACCAAACAATTTCATTAGAACGTTTCCTTATTACAGCGCTTGACTGTAAATTTGATTACATTTCCATAACTGCCCGACTTAGAAGGGGGAAATCTGACTTGCGAGCTCCAAAATTGTATTGTGGGTCAAACAAACCAGCTCCATTACGTTTCCAAGACTTTATCGCAATAACATTTAATAGTGATTCTAGTTCGGTTGACAAAGGCTTTAAATTCTCTTTCAGTACAGATGGTATAAAGGTGTTAGCTTTTTGCATTTCGTAAGCTATATTATTTGCAATTTTAGATTGCGGTGGTAGAATAACAGCACCTACAATAATATCTTCTCCAAGAAGGGAGGGATACGTTCAAAAAAGCTTCTTCGATTATTTCACTACCTATTCTTCGTGCCTTTGGAATATCACCGCTCCTTCAAATAAGCATGTTATTGTAGAGTAAGGATAATAATTTGTCACTGACATTTAGTGGGTTTCCTTATTTGTACTTTTATAGGTTTAAACTGTTTGAAATAATGCACAGTCATGGATGTAATTTTGAACATTTAGACGTGTATGACGGATCTCAATTAGACGCAAATTTAAAATTATCACGTTTGTGCGGAAATCTTACAGATAGTCCTCCTGTATTTAAATCAACTGGAAATTCACTCCTACTTAACTTAAGAACAAGCTTTTCTATCAATAATGCTGGTTTTCAGGCCTATGTTTATTTCCAATATGGTGCGGAAGTGGGTTGTGGTGGCAATTTGTTCATCAATGAAACTCGAGTAATTTCTCCATCAAACATTGCCGCTATAATGGATTGTCAGTGGCAAATCAAAACAACGGAACCGTCTGTAATAAAAATTGAGTTTCTTGAGCTTAATTTAGAAGGCTGTTTCTATCATGATTCTAATACTAACAATACCAGTTGTATTCCTACATACATAGAAGTAATTAGCGATATTTTGGTAATAGATTTTCTAATTTATTACATAATGTTTCAGATTCATGATGGACCTAGNTCATTAACTTGAGGTAATTTATAATGGATAAAAATTGCATATGAATTTTCACAATAATATTTACTTTTTATTTGATTCGTTATCACGTTTTTCCTTCCGCCACGGAAAAAAAACAAAACATATCAATATGGTGTATTTTTTAGTACAAAAACAATTTTCGAGCTACGCCTCATATACTACTTACATGGTTCGTATTACAAAAAATACACATAACATTTTTATCCGCCGAAGCGATCAATATGTTCGCACTTGCTACGTCTTTAAAATACTCCGAGGTACTATCGAGGGAGTACTTTTGGTCCTCTTACAATTTTCGTCTTCTACTGGAACACTGAAACAAGTAAGTGCCATCTCGAGACGCTCCTCACTTTTAATTTCTATTTGTAAAGAGGCTATTAGAGGCTTTACTTTATACTAAGTGTTGTTTTATGCTTCATCATCATAGGGCTTTTGAAGTTCACCAATACACAAAGCACCTTTTCCGGGAGTGAGGAGTCTACCAGTCTATCTGTCGTAACGCCAAGTGATTCGAGAGGGCTAATATACTTTTCTTGTTTGTCGTATAGATTCAAAAGTATAAGCAATTTCTTATTTCCTTTTATAGCATTCCGCAATACAAATACCAGAAGTACACGCACATAACATTCAATAAACAAGTCGTTGGAGACAAATCGGTTCGTCAAACTTTTCACCACTTTCTCATAATTAGATTAATTTAGGAATTCGAAAAAGGTTGTTAAATGTGTATCTTTGGAGCACGGCGTTGTACGCGTGCGAAACATAGACAATGGGCGTGGCGGAAAAGGAAAGGTTAGAAACCTTCTAAATGTGGTGTTATAAGCGAATGATGAGGATAACGTGGGTAAAAAAAGGTTAAAAATGAAGAGGTATTAGAAAGAATAGGAGAATAGAGGACTCTATGGAAGTCAATAAAAAATAGGCGAGATAACTTGATAGGACACCTTCTCAGGCATGAAGGTCTAGTCAGAGACAAATTAGAAGCAGAAGCAGGAGCAGGAGTTAGAAGGGGTAGAGGTAGACCACTGTTCGCAAATAGTTAAGAATGTGGGTTGTTCTAGTTTTAGGGAAATGCGAAGTTTAGCTCAGGACAGGANCCAAGCGATTAAAATGGACTACCTTCGGCTTCCCATTTGGAGTTTTCTTAATTCGGCAGATCACGTCGTTAATCCTCTTCACTATCTCATAGGGATCTTCCCAATTCTGTTGGAACTTAGGTGATAGTCCACAGCGACGACGAGGATTATACAGCCAAACAAGATCTCCAGTTTGGTAACCACCTGCTGTAGCCTTGATATCGTAGTTTTCTTTAATCCTGTCACTAACAATCTGCGTATGCAGACGACATCTCCTGATTTACAACCGAATCTGAGGTCACCAGGCAGGTGTTTGGCCAGTCGTTTCGTGAACAGATAAACGGTATGTCATTAAAAATAATGGCAAATAGCGGCCCTTTGGCGATCAGGCACTACCTTGGAGACATATTTAATCAAGGTCCGGTTCATTCGCTCAACAATGCCTTCCGATTGTGAATGAAGTGGAGTAGTTCGAGATTTCTTTATTCCTAGGAGCTCGCATATTTCACGGAATATAGCCGATTCGAAATTCCTCCCTTGGTCTAAGTGCAACTCGAAGGGCACCCCAAAACGACTGATCAACTCTTTCAACAGCTCCTCAACTATGGTTTCCGACTCCTAGTTCGGAAGGACATAGGCTTCAACCCACTTGGTAAAATAGTCCATAACGACCACGATGTACTTGTTACCTTTCTCGGACTATGGGAATGGACTCGCCACATCGATTGCGATTCGTTTGATGGGGCCACCGACATTGTATTGACTCATTGAGGCCCTTGGCCTTTTCTGTGACCCATTACTAGCGGCGCAGGTGNAATTATTAAAGAACTTAAAAACACCATTAAATTAGAACTAAACTTAGGTTATGAATTATTCTATTCATTTACACTACTGTTGATATATCACTATTCACTGCGCTATTTATTTCACTGATATCACTGTCAATTTATATCTGGATTCACTTCTGCAATGGCCAATTTATTTCTTCCTCTCTCGGCGATCGTCTCTTCCTTTGAATACTCTTTTGTCTACTTTCTGGAACCTTCTGGAAGCATCGGGATAGTTTATTCTTTCTTTGAACTGTTAACTGCTTTCCCAGAATGCAGGTACGACACACACATTTACAAATACGGCGCACATGAAGAAAGGCACACGCGGATAGTCGGCGAATCGATAAGCCGTTCACGCACACGTGTGCCCGATCGCACACAAGCACACTCATGCTCGCTACACTGCCTCCTCCTTAAGGATGTTTCGTCTCGAAACATTTTCACTTTCCGTTTCGCAAGATCATGCCGGAATCTGCAGTTCTCACCTTTACGACATCCGCTCCGGGAATAGAAGTAACAGTCCACGGTCTTCTCATGATTGGTCCGATTCGGGTTATTACTGCAAACCAAAATGTCCATTCCAGTACGGCGGAACAGGACTTCGATCATGTTGCGTACGATCCTCCAATCTAGGTTATCCAGTCCACAACCAAGCTTCGGAATCACCGGCTTCTGTAGGTTATTCTCCATACCTTTCTCGGACTATGGGAGTGGACCGGCCACATCGATTGCGATTCGTTTGATGGGGCCACCGACATTGTATTGACTCATTGAGGCCCTTGGCCTTTTCTGTGACCCATTACTAGCGGCGCAGGTGGTAGACTTCTCACACCAATTCTTGACATCTTCCTTATAGTTCACCCAATAACTTGAACTTTTCCAAGCGTCTTATTCACTCCAAAATGGCCACTAGATGATCCATCATGAAGATACTGCAACACCACTCTAATCTTGTTTCGAGGAAGAACCAGTTGCTTCGTATCTTCCTCTCCTTCTGGACTTTCAACAACACGTTTCAGGATGCCATCCTCCAAAACCATTGAGTCCTATTGAGCCCATAACGATTTTAGTACTTGGGTGCAGAAAGAAATTTGCTGCCACGTTGGTCGTTTTCCGTTTTTCTTCTGTTCCATCACCTTCTTCAAGTTCGGGTCGTTTTCTTGGTCGTGTTTAATATTTGCAGGTAACCACTCGTCATCGATTACCGTGACACGTCGAATTGCTTCTTCATTCTTTTCCATTCGATCACACTGCTTGCACTCTGTTTGAAATCGAATACTTGGGGGAGGGGTACTTTTCCTACCTAGTTCTCCGCAATTCCAACATCTTAGCTTTCGAATTTCTTTATCGAACATGGAGATGATTTGGTAAACGGTTTCTTCCAAATATTCTGACGAATACGTTTCTTCACGCTGTAGCCGAACCCTTCCCTATTTGCTATAGGCCCGTTTAACATTTTCGTACTCCAATGCACGAGCTAATGCATCAGCTAGGTCGGTCAAGGCGTATTCGTTGTTGAGTGTCACTGTCCCGAAGTCTATCAGTAAATGCCTCCACTGCCAACCTTTCCATCAATTCTTCTGGAGTATTAGGATAAGCCAGTCGAGACAGTCTCGCAATATCGTCCTCGAATTCTTGTAGGGATTCCGTTGGTTTCTGCTGACGGGTTTTCAGTTGTATGTTATACACCGCTGTTAAATGAGCCTCGCCGTAGCGGAACTCTAACCGTTTTACCAACTCTTCGTTATCCGCCAATTCTTCCGGGGAAAGGGTGTTCGAAGACCGATAACGACAAAAACTATTTATTTACACTTATTATTATGGAACTTAAAAACACTATTGTATTATAACTAAACTTAGGTTATGAATTATTCTATTTATTTACACTACTATTGATATATCATTATTTACTGCGGTATTTATTTCACTGCTATCAATGTCAATTTATTTCTGGATTCACTTCTGCAACGGTCAATTTATTTCTTCTTCTCTTCCTTTAAATACTCTTTTGCTTACTTTCTGGAACCTTCTGGATACATCCGGATAGTTTATTTTTTCGTTGAACTGTTTAACTGCTTTCCCAGAATGTAGGTACAACACACATATTTACAAATAGGGCGCACATGAAGAAAGGCGCCCGCGGATAGTCGGCGAATCGATAAGCCGTTCACGCGCACATGTGCCCGATCGCACAGAAACACACTCGTGCTCACTACAATATATATCAATATTTACTAATAATCTTGGGCGCTAATCTATTGTACTACTTGAATTAGGCCTAAAACATGTTGGTGTTTTACAAACATGTAATATTATTTTAGCAGAAACAGCAAAATGACTAAGACAGCAAATTACTCTATGTATATCATGTTTGTTGAACAGGCCTGTAACAGCAATTAAGCAGGCAATTACATCACAACTGTAAGATCCAGTCAGAAGAAGGATACGTTTTTTAAATTGGAAAGGAATCCTTTTGGAGCATTTATTGTGAAATATCAGGTTTTGTGTTCTTAATAACTCTAGTTGTAGAGAATAGGTTTTGTCAGTAAATTAAGTCAAAGAAAATAAAGACTATGAGAACGAAGAGTCAGTTACAAGGTTATCCGTATAACGGTTACAAAAATGGCATTTTCCAGTATTTTCTAGAAAAACTGTCTATCCTGTGATACCAGATAAACATTCTATGTTCAGCATCTGTCTCTAGAAAGTCTTATTCATGTGGATAATTATGTGCTAAACCATGTGCAACTACGTAAGAGCGAACTAGGCAAGTAGTCCTCGGATTCGGAACTATCCCTTATGCTACATTTGGACTGGGAACTGCACAACGGACCGCGATACTAACGAAACCGAGTAAAGAATATTTACCTATTATTGACAAAATCAACCGTTACATAAACGAATGCGAATGTTTCTGTATAACCAAATACGATTATAAACTATATAAACGTATACTTAACATCGCGCCTTTCCAGATTTTACATACACATAGAGCGCATCTGCAAAAACCTCAAAATTTTTGACCACGACCGATTCCCACTTTGGTGCAAGGTGTTGATATTAATAGCAAAAGGTCACTGATCTTTTTACAGGTTCTTAAGTCGTCGATTGAGGTTGGTACTGGTCTCTGCTTGTACTTTCCTGATATATCTTTTTTCCTCTTGCTACATCCCAATTTGTATATTTTTTGACGTGACAATGTCTTATAATTCGATGGAGCCGGCTGCACGCACGAAAAAACATGACTCATGCGGCGTTACCTCTCTCTGAGGCGTTCCATTTAAGGCTTGAAGTGCAAGCGAGAGCGCGGAACGAGCGACAAAGAGGCACAATCGGCCTCCGCGTTCGGCAGCGTTCGACATCTGTCTCTCTCCTACTTGAGTGAGCGATGCGTCCGCGTGGACAGCTGCTATACAATAATACATTTCCATTTACCTCCTTCTCTATATCCATACAAAATATCTATCAAACAAATAAAATTAAAATTTTCTTTTGAAAAATGAAACCATTCCATCAGTATTTTCTTATGACGTTGTCACGTTCAACTATCGTCAGTAAACCGACTTTACAGACAACCGATTTTTTTCTGGATAGACCCTTTCTTTTTCATATATGAAATTGGATGTAGTTAATCGTCACTCGACACTATAGTAGTAGCATTGCACCGCATCCACTCTTGCTGGCGCCGGTATGGAGGTCTGTCTCGTACTTTGGGTTTTATATTTTCAAAAACAGTGCTGATGTGAGAAAAGATTTGAGCTATTCAAATACGCACAGTTCGTCAGCAAACTTGAACTCGGGTGTATCTATTTATATGTTGCTCAATGGTTTGGCTACAAATGAGACATTCTGGATGAAGTAGTCTGCTAATCCAACAAAAATTGCACCACAGCGATTGTTTTCGACAGTCGCTGGGAAGTTGTGAGGCACCGAGGGCCGTGGTATAGTGACCCGGTGGCGTCATCTGCGCTTAACAATGAATCGTCCGGCTAGTGGCGCAACCTAAAGCCTGTTGTAACTCAGAAAAGGTGACGGTGAAAGTTGGGGAGATTTTCAGCTAGGTTTGGTAGCTTTGCAGTAAAGTCGTGCAGCTTTAGAGGTAAGTTTGGCAACTTTGCAGCTAACTTGAAATGAAGTAGCTTTACAGTTAAGTAATAGTTTCACTGGGGAGGAGTGGTAGCTAGTTAGCTAGAGAGGAGCCTCTATTCTGATTTCTCTTGTATTCTCTAGCTCTTTTAAATGAGTTTTGGAGCTCGCATCTGCGGATATGTCCCTTGTGTTGGCAGTGAAGTAACTTTACAATTAAGTAATAATCTCACTGGAGAGGAAAGGTAGCTAGTTAGCTAGAGAGTAGGCTCTCCTCTTATTTCCCTCGTGTTGTCTCATCCTTTTACATGATTTTTGGAGCTCCCATACGAATTTCGCATTGTGCGAGCTTCATGATAAGACATTAGAAGTTAGCTTTCGGATTGAACTTGACAATTTATTTGAGTCAACGTGGACTCGACTCCACGTAGTCTACTTCCAAAAATTCTAATTACTTCATGACACCTGCAAGAATCGCGGCTTTCAATCAAGTCTACGCAGAGTGCTGCTTCCGAGAATCAGACTGTATTATTGTAATAGTATGAGATATATGAGAAACACAGCGGTCAATCAGCTACACGTGACTGTTTTCGAAAATCTGGTCATATTATTACCATTGTATGGTGCATGTATGTAAAAACCGTTGCGATCATCGCTGATACATGTATGATTTGTCGATGCATCAGACGATTATCCAGATCAGTTTTACCTCCCTACCTGACATACACATTCGGCAACTGTCCAAGCAAACTGCTAAATAACCATGAAATTCCATATGAAGTAAAACTAATGTACTAAACTAGAAATCATTAGAAATTTAGGTACAGAAATATTCCCAAGAAGTGATTGATTTATAGCGGTACTTGTAAGAAAAAATAAAGTCATATTGGATTGCGAAAAGCAAACAGAAATGATTTCAAAGGATGCAACTCTAATCTGAGTTCAATGATGAAGTTGACCTATTTTTCACTGAGATGACAGTTGACGATAATGGATTAACGAAGAGGTGGACATAGAAAAGACAGTGGTATTCGAAGAAGAATAGTTATGGATTAGGCTTATCACGAATTACGTTTTTTATGTATTCTATTTCAAAGGTGGTGTGGAAACAAATGTAGGGCAATACCCGTGATTTAAGTATTTCCCTTTTTATCTATGTCTATCTAGCAAACAATTTTTATAATTAACGAGATATTTGAGAAAAATTGTTTTCCTTTAATACACTTTTTCGTCTTTTGCACACCGTTGACCATCTGTAACTTTTGCAGTTGCTCAGTCTTGGTCTTTCGAGAAATTAGAAATTTGTAAGATCATAAAAATAATCTAGTCGGAAAATCTTCAATTGAATTTTTTTAGAAGTTCATGTACAAAGTGACTGGTCTGTGAGGCCAATTAGAATATTATACAAAGTATTTAATTTCACACAATCCATCTCCTTATAGTATGTCATGGAATAACTTCTCTTGTAAGTAAAATAATCGTTTTAGGAAGTAAAAAGATTACATAAAGCACGATAGGATCTAGGACCCATGTATCATATTTACGTAAATTTTATCACTAATTAATCTCCGTTTTCACTTAAATAGGCTATTTGGATACCAACAGATACTCATCAATTCTGTGGAAGAAATTCAAGTGGCTTTACTTATTATTCCGGAAGCAACGAAGTTATTGTTTCCTTTTATGGTAGCTCTAA